GGGCCTCAGAAAGACAAGCAAATGGGAGAGGGCAGGAAGAAACAAAGATGATCACGGGAACACATGGGTTTTGCATAACGATAACCAGCAGCTTATCAAACACCTACCTGGAGAATATAAAACTGTAAAGGGTGTAAAAAAGATGAGCATGGCGCTGGCTTACCACAGCCCAGACTCCTAGAATCTGAGAAGAAATAGAAAACCCAAAGTGTTCACTGACCTGAGAGGGGACACAGGCTGAACACATGAACGGGCTCCACAACTGTTAACATACAATGTAGAAAAAGAGCTCGATTCCTTCTGTGGACTAAATAGGGTTTGGAGCCTGAATGTGGCAGGACAACATTAAGGAGGAAAATTATTGGCTAATTTTGTTTAGAACTCAAATTTGAAATTCCACTTAGAAAATGAAACACAATTGCAGATCAAAAGAATTGTTCCCTCTAACCAAGGAGCCGTCATCCCAGGAATGCTCGACAGCTCAAGTTTTATGTTGAGAGCTTAACTACACATGGCAATAGAACATAAAGACCACAACTTATTCCTAGAGATGCCAAGAACTCGCTCAATAAATTTTAACTTACAGCGCATGCCTAATTAAAATGCCCTCCCACACACCAAAGAATAGACAATGACAACTTCAAAATGCTAAAGCCAGAGACCAAATATATCTTCAATGGACAAATGCTAGAAATATGCCATCAAAAAAGAGGAGTAAAAAAGGATGAAGGAGATATATGAGGGACTAATATAAACAATTTTTAACACTACTGCTTGTAAATGACATGATTGCAAAATCCAAGGACATTAGTAACAAAAAATAACAAGTCAATTAGCACAGCAAAGTTGTATGACTTAGATAAACCTGCAAAAATTAAACTCAGAAAAAAAAAAAAATCTCATTCACAGTACCAATAAAAGACATAAAATATTTAACAATTAACATGGTGGAAATCACACACGATGTACCTGAAGAAAATTCTAGAATGTTAGCTGCAGAAGAATAGAACAAGCAGGAGGCAATATCTGCTCCTGCCTTAAGAGACAAGACGTAAAGGCAGAAAACTCTCTTGAGGTTGGCATAGAGATTTAATATTACCAAGTATTTAGTAATAATAT